CGGTTTTTGGTCAACAACTTTTTTTAACCCATCGATTTTTAAAATGTTTGAATGCCAATTGTTAGTAGGGATCCGTACGAATTCAAAAAGGTATAACATTTAAAAATCAGGCAATATTTACCCGAGATATTCAAAAAAAAATCATCAAAAAAGCTTAGATTTTCGAAACGACCCCAATTCTCGAAAAAATCTAAATCTTGGCCAAAATTGGCCAAAATGGCAAGGGGTTGCATCACGTTTTTTCGAAAAATCGGGGTCGTTTCGAAAATCTAAACTTTTTTGATGATTTTTTTGAATATCTCGGGTAAATATTACCTGATTTTTAAATGTTATACCTTTTTAAATTCGTACGGATCTCTACTATCAATTGGCATTCAAACATTTCAAAAATCGATGGGTTAAAAAAAGTTGTTGACCAAAAACCGATTCGTTTGTAAAGTCAACCTATTTTGATGCTTTTTTGGAATATCTCGGCCAAATAATGACCGATTTGGGAATTTTATACCATTTTGGACTCGTAAGGATCAGTACAATCGATTGGCATCAAAAAAATGAAAATAAAATCTAAATGTTGACCCAAATGAAATTTGAAATGTTATACCATCAATAGGCATTCAAACAAATGGACTCACAAGGATCAGTACTATGGATTTTCTGCGCGGGCACTAAGAGGACCTACTTTCCACATTTCAAGTCTCTAGCTGTTATAGGTTCAGAGATTCTTTCGTTGATACAAATGGACAGACGGACATGGCTAGATCGACTCGGCTATTGATGCTGATCAAGAATTTATATACTTTTTGGGGTCAGTGATGCTTCCTCCTGCGTGTTACATACATACATTTGCACATGTACATTTTACCCCTTTCACCCATTTTTAATGGGTTCAGGGTATAAAGATATAATTTAGCCAATTGGTACTTGCAAGCCAGCTTAAAAATATGCAATGGTATTTATGTCAAAGTACGCACTACTCGGCTGTTAATAAAACGCTCTCTGTTGTTAGTTTAGAAAGAAAATATACATAATTACAATATTATTTCTGCACCAACTATTTACAAACGAAAATTGTATAATACATGAATATCCATACTTTAAATAGCAATAAACAATTTTTATGCAAAAATCTGTTTAATAATAGAGATTTTAACTACAATCAGATATCAACTAGTTCGAAGGGAACTAAGTCGAGCTTTGAATCTACTAAGTTTTGTATTTCATGTAAATTAAGTTTGATCTATAATGAAAATCCATACATACATAGCCTTATTCTAGAGGACTCCAACTTTTTCGGTTTAGCGATTTCTTTAGAAAACTCACAAATTACAAGCTTTATAAACCTTTTAGAATTAATTTAAACACATCCGGAAGAAAACTCGTAGATTGAATTCTTGCTCATAACAGCAACTATTTTTTTCTGTCTCAATAATTTATGAGGCTAACATATAGGGGATGAAAACATAAGATGAAAGAAACTAAAGCTAGTTAATTATAATTTTAGGCGAAGACTTGATGATAAATTTAATTATTGGCTAACTTAATGTAGTTAAGTTAAGCATAGTTCGAGCACTTAAGTACATTCGCTTCAGCTTCAACTCAATTAACTAACTAACTGCGACTAAAACTAATGGCAGCGTATTAAGGTTATTTAGATTACGATTAAATTACGGATGCATTGAAAATGAATTTAAATAAATTGAAATTAGTTACAGAAAGCTATGATGTGCGTGTACGAATGTGAACTAGTTCTAATTTGTCCGTTCATTTGAGAGGTTTCTCGATGCTGTGTGGTACTTAGAAGCTATATAGCCTTGTGGCACGGAACTATCTGCAGCCGCACGACTCGACGACCATGTTGGGCAGCGTTTTGATTGTCGCCGAGTTGTTGGAGTCCAAAACGACCAACTGCAACGAGGAATACTGTTTGGCGGTACAGCAGGGTATCAGGTCCAACGGTTTGCGTGTACCATTTGTGGAAAGGATTTTCTGCAAAGCAAAATGCGAAGGATCAGCACAAAAAACAGGGTCTCAAATTCGAATCGAAACCTACCAGCAATGAGCTGTGATGCGAAGCCGCCTGGGCGACACTCGCCACAGAGCTGCAGGAGCCGCGGCAGAAGTACGCATCGTAGCCCTTCGGCTGCATTATCCAGTTGTCCCATCCGATGTCCGCGAATGATATATAGAGCTTCTCGCGGCAGCATTCGGTGACGCCGCTGGAACAGTTAATGTTTCGCTTCTGGCGCGATTTGCTGCGACGATTCTGTGTGTCGATCATTATGAAGGGTCTATAGTTCTTATCCACAGATATGATCTCCTCCATGCTTGCGATGTCGCACGATTCGCACGCGATCTGTATGAGATGGCTGAGTTCGTGGTTGCCGAACCAGCGTTTGATCGGCCACTCAATATTGATTTTCATCCACTCATCTGTAGCGAGAAGAGAGGAAAACATAAACTCTTTAACAAACAAGTTGAAAGAAACTTAAAAAACTTAAGAGTTGCCGAGAAATTCGAGTTATTGATGGAGATCTTTATGTTTTCTTATTATGTTAAAGAAATTCTTTGTATCATCCCTCTGATTATACTGAATGTTTAGTTATTCTTCCTTCTTATTAGCAGACCATTGTAACTAGGCTTGTATGATAGTCTACTCATTATTTGTTTTATTTTCTGTCTAGGCCATGCAATCCGAAGAGCTAACCATCTATGGTAACTGGGTTTTTACCACAGCTTGCTCAGCGCTTGCAATTTTTCTTGACTAAGCATAATTAATTGGATTTATTTTGTATATAGTATATTTTTTTTTGGTTGTGTTGGGCTCACCTTTGCTAATCTACAGCTGGTAAAATTTGAGAGCGAGACCAAAGTTCAGTTTTGGCATGACAAAAAACATAATATATATATATATGTTTGTATAGAAATAAATAAGTATGAAAAATGTTTTTGATCTCGCAGCCAAGTTATTCACCCACAATCCCCGGACAGCGGCCCGTGCATGCTATCAATGATCTTTCGACCAGCGGACGGACAAGAACAGAAGAACAACAGCGAAATCAACAGTTGCTAATGGACAGCCACTTATCGGTGTATTATTATCATAATCCACACATAATATAAGAGATTGCGATCCGCTGCATTCGCTTACCTTGCACATCCACCGACTGTATGGCTATGGTCTTGGCCAGCGGCAGGTATTTGGAGTCCAGCTGCTGCTCCACCTCGGATACGACCAGCGTTTGCTGCTTCTGTGCCCCATTCAGCTGGCTGTCATTGCTGGACTTGGTGTAGTTCTGCTTGTTCTTATAGAGCCACAGCACAGCGCTGCTCACATCAAACCCATCCGCATCCGCATCATCGATCTTGAAGCTGAAGCACATGGACGGATGTGCGCCTAGGCGACGGCACTCGGTTTCTTCTACAATTGAGAAAATAAGTTGATTAGTTGCTGAAGGATCTTTAAATGTTAAAAAAATTGACTATTAAAATATATTAGCTATTGATAGACCTACAGATCTTATGCATGGGATAAGGAATTATAAGTTTCTTAAATTTACGTTATTAGCCTTGAGAGAATTCAACCAAGCTGGTTTTTAACTAATCCGAAGTTCAGAAACTTTCATAATTTTATATTCTCAATAATATTTTCTTTGGAGCTAATTATAGGACGAAATGAGATTTTTAGATTTTAGGGAAAGTATCTCCAAAAACGTAACGCGAAGGCCTTTCATAATGTCACGTTAGCGAATATATGATTATTTTCAATTCCGAATTTAAACTGATTTTGCGGATATTGTGAATAAGTTTCTGAAGGACTTACCTCGTTGCAGGAGTATAAATTTCTGATTGGTGCGCGCATAGTAGTCATCGTAGTCCTTATTCTTGCTGGACTCCTCCGCATGCTGGAGCGTTACGCCCTCGAAAATGGGCCTGGGCAGCTCCACGGCCGAGACTTTGGGGCTCTCCTTGAGGCGCAGCTTCTCGAGGATTTGCTGCTTGACAAACTCAATGCGCAGCCGCCGCAATTCCTCCTCGGTGATGTGCTCCACCTGGCGACTGCTTTCGCACTTGGGACAGCCACCGGAGGCTGTGGCATTTGTGTGGCTGCTCAGATTGTGCTTTGGTGCTGCGTCTTCGATCACAGCTGGTGGAGCTGGTTCTGCCAGGCTCAGTTGCAGCTCGTTCTTGACATAGTCCTGCTGATGCTCATCCAACATGAACTCGTCAGCTGGTGCGTCGTTTAACATTTGCGGAAAGTCCTCATCCTGCTGCTCCTCCTCCTCCTCCTCCTGCTCCTGCTCCTGCTCGTCGCTCTGGCGCAGGTCATCAAACTGGTAGCCCTGGCTGAGCAGCTGCCACAGATTGGGACTGGTCTTGAGCTGCTCGGGCGTAACTCGATGATAGCTGCGCTCCTGCTGCAGCATATGATCGCGCTGCCGGCGCAGATGGCGCCGCAGTCGCTGGTCGTAGTGCAGCTGCAGTTCCTCCTCCTCGCTGCTCGGGTCCGGAGCAATGCGCTTGGGCTGCCGATTACGCTGCTGGCGTGTATGATGTTGCTGCAGCTGCTGCACATGCTGATGCTGCTGCTGATGCGGCTGGTGACGGGGATGCGGATGTGCGCGGACCAGCGGCATGCTACCTGCCTCATCGGAGGCGCCGGCGTGCGATCGCGCGTAGATGTTGTTGTTCTCCAGGGCCAAGCACAGCAGCAGCGCCAGGGTCATATAGTATTTGGCCATTGTTGCCTACGCTTTGTTCAAATCTCTTGATCAAAATTTGTTGTTTTTTGTTTGGGGGGTAAGAACTACAACTTGCTACACTTTTTGCCTTGGGGCTAATTGTTATCTGTTTGGCAGCAATTGAAATTCAATGTTCGTAGTCCTTTGGCTTACAAGACTCATAGAATTGCAGCTTTGCGCACTAATTGTAGCCGTTTTGTTAACTTGTTGTTGCACTTTTAAATTAATTACAAATTGTCTTTAGTTTTCGCTTTATTTTGTTTGTTATTTAACTTAATGCTGCATTTTGTAGAATTGATAAACTTTATACTTTTTGTTTATTGTAATTTTCAATAGCTAGCTGCGAGCTGTAAGTAAAAAAGGTAGAAGAAATTGTTAGAAAATAAATTTAACTAAAATTAGTTATTGATAATTATATTCCTTAATCAGGTTCAACTACTTGAATTTGATAAATGCTCATATTTAAAAATCTTGGATTTTTAAAAATCTATTTTTAAGGAAAGTTAAAATATTTTAATATGCTTTTATTGTTTGAATATCTATTAAGTTCTTTAAAAAAATTTCCAAAGCTTCTTCATAGGTGACTTCAGTATTTAGTCAATACTCAAATAAAATTGAATCATGGCATACAAAATAGTTGTTTTTCCTATCGGACACGCGGCAAAGTGCAGGGAATTTTCATTTGAATTAGTTTTTTTTTTACATTATTTTAATTGCAAATTAAATTGCAAAACGTTGCAATTAAAAAGCAATATTAAAAGTTTTTAATTGACATTATCGCTGAAGATCGGAAACTGCGCACCATACAAAAAAAATTCCAAATAAAAATTAATAAATTGCGCCTGTCAATCACAACGAGGGTGATTAAACGGAACTTTGAGACGCAAGTCTGTGCATCAAGTATACGCCGTGTTGGGCGTGCAATTAATTAAAGGGACCACACGTACCGTAGAGCACATTAATTTGAATTTGATGACTCGACAAGTAGCCAATTCCAGAGTTTATTGGGGTGGCAGCAGCAGCAAGGCTGGGGTCAAGCTTCGATCCCGGACGCGACACACGAAACACGAAGCACGACGCACGAAACACAAATCGTAAATTTCAAACACGACGAAGTCAGCGCAGATATGATTATTTTTGTAAGTTTTTGTCGATTTGCCATGCGACAGCGCAAACGAGTTGTGAATGAATGAGCCGCCTGCCTGATTAGTAGAACAATTTATGTGTGCGAAGTCGCCGCTGCAATTGATTGATCGCCGTACAGAGGCAGAGGGAGAGAGAGAGAGCGCGAGAGATTGGCAGCAAGAGCGAGCGCACACGCAGTCAGAGAGCAGACGGCACGAGCTCGCCCAGCCGGCGCACGAAAGCGCCGCGAACGTGTGCTTCGCTCGTTTTTCCCACAGCTTGCCTGCGCCCCCCTCAGCGCGCAGACACAGCCATTTGCCCCCCACCATTCATTCGCATGGTACGCTTTGGGCGAGCTGCAGACAAGGCAATTCATATGCAAATTCTGTGTCTCATTGCATCAGCTAAAGAAGACGGCGGCCGCGACGTCGACGACGACGTCGGCGCAGCTGCTACCAACGGCGCATAACAAAAAAAAAAAACTGCATAAATTGTGAGTTAATTGTTTTTGTGCCGTTTAATTTGATTATTTTTGGTTTTGCACCTGCAAGCTTCACGCCACGCCTACGATCAGTGGGAGCGCCTAGCTGCACAGTGATTCAATCACTCGCATTCCCCCGTTTCGCTGTGATAGTCAATCAGATCGTGTGTCAATCAATCAGGAGCGAACACGTTGCTGATAAGCGAATTGCTCAATTCGCTCCATAAAATCATGTTTATGAGGCCTAGGCTGTAGCTCTACATGAAACATGTCACACATATTCCAGCACAAATCACAAAGTACCGCTACTTGTGTGATTTACGAAGGCAATATTATATGATTATATACATATATGTGTGTGTGTGTGTGTGTGCGTATGTTAACTGTATTAAATTAGCTATATGAATGATGCTTAATCGCTTTGCACCGAGCTGCTAATCGGACTGATTATGCTGCGATTAAGAAACGGAAACCAGCAACAAGCGCATAGCTAATGATCCAGTTCGAATTAATTGACCTTGTTACTGTTAATATGTATTTATGTAGAATTACATTCGATATATTAGTATGGTCAATTTACAATTTCAATCAAAAAGAAAGCATTTCAAGTTGACTTTAATAACATGTAAATTTCATCAGCCAAGGCAATAAGTGTGTACGTGATGCATAGCAAAATGATTGCCAAATATTTAATTTATGCGCCTTCGAACGAGTAAAACAAAGAGAGAGAATGGTAGAGAGAGAGAGAGAGAGAGAGAGAGAGAGAGGTCAAAATCGATCTCAAGATCATACTCCATAAATGCTTAAAAGTTTTTAAATCTATTTTTATCTTACTTTTCGTAAACTTAAAAATGTAAAAATGATACATTTTAATTTTATGTTAACCCTGTTTTAATCTCCACTTTGAAGAGCAACATTTCTTGTAGCCTACTTAACAAAAGCTTATAAATATTTAACTTTTGGTTCGCCTGAAAAGTATGCAAGGGATTTATACACTTTATGAAGCAATAAATATTTTTATCCAAGTATTGAAAAACACATGAATTCGTTATTCCAATGTCAATACAACTATAATCAGTAAATCTTGATTAATATGTGTACTAAGTATGTTATATTTAAATCTTTTAATCGGTTCAAAATTGGGTCATTTATTTTTATTTAGTATGTATTTTTTTAAGGTATGGTTATATAACCGTTCTTTTCTGCATTTCCCATGCTTAGAGTACCGTTATGTTCATTTTTCTGTTCGTTTCTTTTTAACATAAGTATTATCAGGCGTTAATTTGCAATTGCGCAAACTTGGATGATCTTTAAGTGTTTTTCCATAATTGAAAATGACGTCGATTACCACATCGATGTATTTAGTGGCGACACGTGACAATCGGCATAGTTTTTGACGTAACATAAATAATCATAGTAAAGTGGAAACGATCGAAAAGGGTATCAGAGATCAATCAATCAGCGGCGTGCGACTAAATCAGGCGCCGCTGAAGGGCCAAGGGAACGCGGCAGCGGCGAGCCGAAGAAGGTTACGAGCTGACACTTCATTAAATGGAGCAGCGCTTGGCGCGGCGCAGCGCCGCAGTCGGCGTCACCGTCATCGTCAACGTATCGAACAAGTTGGCTACGTCACCGAACACGCAAGCGAAGCGTGATGCAGCCAATGAACACACTGGCAGCCAGAAAGAGATAGCTGTAGCGTGGAAGTAGAAGATGGAAGCATAAGCAGAAGAGTTGCGGAGAGTTGCGTTGAGAGAGCTGCAAGCTGGGTGCAAAGTACAAATGAAGATTGGCTAGCTTCTGGGGGTTTTCCATGCGCCGCTGCGTTCGTATCAATTGCGGGACGTATCGTTAATTGCGATACTCTACACAAGTGCAGCGCAGCGCAGCGCAGAGCCTCGAACTGCAGTTGAACGCACTGCAAAAATGTTCCTTTTTGCTTGGCAATTTTTGCGTTTTATTTTTGGTTTTTGGACAAAGTGCTCTTTACTCTCTGCATTTCACTCGCCCCCCTCTTTCTCTCTCTCTCTCTGTCTCGCTCTCTCACTCTATGTCTCTCTCTCTTTCTCTATCTTCATATTGTTGTAGCGAATGCGCGATGTGCTGTGATCAGCGTATTGGAGCATGCCGCAGTGTGAACTTTGGAATCGCACACGAAGATTGCTCCGATTTGCTGAGTTATAGCAAAATCCACTTAATACGTTTAATACACTTTTCATTTTTTTCAGTTTCGTTTTGCCACACGCTAACAATTAGGTGCCAAGCTGTCAGGATTTTCAAAGAATTATTGCGCTATTTGAAATTAAATAAATCTCTTCCAGCGATAAATCTTATATAAGCCTCACATTTGGTGGCCCCTCTTTTTATTTTGCACACGTTTTTAAACCAAATACGCTGAAGGTTGTTTGAGGTTATGTTTGCAACATGGTGGTCGATTCAATATGGCGGCCTTGTCCAAATATCACAGACTCATCAAACCATCAATCATTGGTTAACTATCTAATCAATTTAATTTAATTAACATGTTTAACTGAACTTTGATTAATTCAATACTAGAATAAGTGAGAATGAATTTGAAATTCGAAAGTTACACGTCTGACTTTTATTCAAAAGTAATTTACATGCGCAATAAAATAAAGATTGATCATTAACTATGATTGAGCTTCATTATTAAAACCTTTTTCCAAATTTTTGGTCATATATTTCTCAATTTCCAATCGTTATTAAATCAGTTTATTTTAATTTTTATTTTAGATACAGCGCACGACCAGGCGATTAGCAGGCGGTTTTTATATTTAGCAGGCGAACCAAAAATATATTCTCTGCTGTCAACTGTCAACTGTCAAGACATAAGCTTTGATGGCAATTTGTTAAAATTTATTAATTATACTATCATATTTTTTCGGGTGTTTTCTTTTTCTGTTAATCTATTTCAACATACATTTTCTTGAATTTATTTCAACAATATAAAAAAAGGATATATTATATAACTTACCTACTAAAGAAATCCTTTGGAGCAATTGAGATATTCAAATATTGTTTTGATTTTATTTTAAAATTGTTTTTGAATAGTCCAAGCTATTTATTTATTGTGCAAATCATTTGCACAAAATAATCATTGTTGTTAATTTGGTATTTCACCATTTGAACTTGTGCACTTTTGCAATGGCGATGACAAGCGTTTTTTTTTTCCTTTTTGTTAATTTGTTTTTATATATTATGAGTAATAAAAATAAGTAGGGGTCCGTTTATTTTTCAATACTTGAGCACATTTTTTTTATAGTTTCGATGATTTAACACTTTTCCTTGTCCAAAATGATATGTAAACCTCAATTTGTTAGAGCAACCTTTTTTGGTTCGATCCGAGCAGTCAGAACGTCTGCGTGTGAATAATTCGATGCTGGGCAGCCAGCGACCGCAGAGACTGCTGCCTTGGTCTGGTTCGGGCTGGTGCTGGTCTGGGTTTGTGTCTGCGTCTGTGTCGGTCTCTGCGTCTGTGTCTGTGTTTGGGGCTCGCGAGCTTCACTTAGGGGCAGAGCGCCCAAAGGTGAGTGGGCGAGTGCGAGAGAGCGAGCGCGAGAGTGTGCGTATTGTTATGGTATGGTTTGATAACAGCGATATCAATGCTCGGCATCGGTGTGAAGGCACATTAAGTGATGCGCAATTTTAAATGTTTCATTAATCAAGGAGAGGACGAGCGCTTGTGAAAGAGAGCGCAATCAATATGTGATAAGGAAATGCCCGGCTCGTTGTTGCTGCCTGGCTTTCCCCCAACGATGAATCCGATCTGCGTGGCGGTTGGGAAGCACGCCGACAATTCAAAAGTCCGGTTGCAACTTGTTCGTTTGCCGCGTTCGAGCATGTCGGACAGCACTGTTGCAAATCGAGCTCATACAAAACGTGAGCAGTCCGCTGTGTTGCAACACTCATACAACGCTGACGTCGTCGTCGCACTGTTGGGGCGGTTGGTATCTGTATCTTCGCCCCGAGCAGGTCCAAAGTTCGAACTTCAGCGTCTTTGTCATCGTCGTCGTCGTCGTCGGCGTCGTCGTCGTCAAGTGTTTGATTCTTGACCGTTATTTAATGATGTCAATTTCTAACGCTCTCCCCTTGCGGTTCGTTGAATGGCATATTGCAATTCTCAAGCGTCAAATTTTCTATTTCCGTTTTGTTTTTTTTGTTTTACGTTTTTTCGGCGCGTGTTTCGATTATTATTTACGATGCGATTGTTGAGTGTTTTTATATAATTTTGGTTAAGCATTTATTATGATTGATTAGCATTTTATTGATCAACTTTTCACGATCTGCATGCATGGGACTGGCTTTGGGGGCTCTTATATAAGATTATAAAAAAACAATAAAACAAATTTTAAAAACTATTACAGATGTTACATAAAATTGAGAGGTATTATTCTTCAAGTAACTCGTGAATGTTTATTTACCTTGAAGCTCCCGTTTCCCTTCAACTTGCTCAATATCAGCTGATAAATTATGGAATTTTATTTGATGTATTTATTTTTTGTCAGTAGAATTTCAAAGCCAAGCTGCTCCCCAAGACCACATATTATACGGGGGCACACGCGCGTGTACCGCAGCACGTCACTGGAGCTTATCGCGGCCGCGCCTCTGAAATCTATACTATATACTTATGTATGCATGTACATTCCTAATGTCCCATAATGCTTCCTTGCTTTGACAAAGGGTATCCCAGAACCACTGCAGTGTTTGCACAATTCGTAACGGCATTAAATGGTGTACATTTTAAAAACCTTTGTTAAAGAGTATTTCATCGTCGGCGCTTAAATATTTCTGCTCCACTTTGACAATCGTCAAAGGAATAAATTATATAAGAATTGAATTCTGTAAACAAGCACAGTTTGTTTTTACCATAATAAATGTATTATTATTTTTCAGAAATAAATAAAGCGAGATAGAAAGATTTAGAATGAGCGAGCAAGAATCAGTAGAGACAGACTGCATAGACATTTGATTGTAGATGGATTCCTTGTTGACAACCGGAAAGTGCCCAGACATACTTCAAATGAACCATTGATAACCAATTGATAACACCCACGACTTTCGAATTAATTAACAACAACAACAAGAAAACACACAAATTATAAATACACAAAAGAAATAATTAAAATCAGTAGGCGGCAAAACGAAAAGAGCGCAAATAAACTAAATTTATTTTCTGGTGCCAAACAAAACGCAAAACTGCGACGATACAATAAGCATTAAGAAAATATTATTTTATTTGTAAGATAAAGCCTAATTTGTTTAAAAAAAAAAAAAAGGATTCTTCTAAATGAACCAATTTAATTATAGTTCTGCTTACAAACTCATAAGTCAGATAAAGACTTATATTTATATAGAAATAAAATAGTTGTATCAGAAAAATATTGTAAGGGTATTCAGTCATCGACGTTTTTGCTTTTTTGTTTTAAATTATTTTGCACATCTTACCAATTAATAGAAAATGAAAAACTAATTAGAAAATTAAAATTGAGAAAGTCGAAATTGAAATGCTCTTTAAGTAAAACTGACATTTTTATATTTAATACGAGAAAAATGTACTGATAATTTAATAAATTTTCAAGTTAGTTAAAATATAATTTTGACATTTTTTCTCTAGCTTTATTGCAAACTCAAGAGGATTATGAAAGGCCACACGCCCAATTTATTGCAGCGTACACTCATGAGTAATTAACACATTTTATGGCCCCCTATCAAACGGATCATGGCCAAGATTCAAGATGACACACGCGCCAAAAAGAAATGAATCATTACCGTGGGCTGTGCCGGTAAGTATATAAGTATGACATATATACTTATATGTATATAAATGTGGGCATTTAGCATGTGCCTATGGAACGGAAGCTGTGCATGTGAACTTGGCGTGAATCCTGAAATCACGAAAGATAAATGCGTGCTAAAAATAATTCAATACTTAAGGCAATGGGGCAAAGGTTTCTTGATCAAACGAATAAATCATCAAGAGCGCACAGAAATTTTCCACGAAGCTTCTACATATTGAAAGCGAGAGTAGTTGGTGTGCGTCTGTGTGTGTGTGTGTGTGTGTGTGTGTGTGTGTGTGTGTGTAAGTGCGTTTGTGTTTGTGACGCAGCAAACGATATTGAGAATACGCCATAGCCAAATGACTTTTGGACTTTGTAGCCACTTGGTGCATTGGCAGACGCTCGAGAGACACTCGACCGGCCATGCCCGGCGACTACATTGTGTTAATAATTTAATTGAAATGCGCATGTACACACCCCGATAAATACACTGAGCGAAACGTTAGTATAGATTCTGATATAATTGAGTTTAAAGTCAAAAGTGACGACAAATTGTAGAAATCAAGAGAAACTGATTGGTTCTAAACTGACAAAACTTGTAAAAAGAATAAGGATTTTCCATGGGAATATATATATATTTAAAATTTTTCCTCAATTGAGAACTCTGTTCTCAACTCTTGTGATTTTCTCTGAGTGCTTTCTAATATATATATATATATATATATGTATGGATGGCTGCTCTTCTTTTTATTTTGCCTACACGAAGCCAAAGTCCATTTACGAGACATGCGGCAGACGTGTGAACCGGCACCAGAACCCGCACAGCAACCCGAAAAGAATTGTAAAGATCGTGTGAGAAATGCGTTTGCTCTCAATTCGTTTCAATCTCAATCTCAATTTCAATTTCAATGCATCGCAGATCAATTGAACTGAACCGCCCCACGCTGGGCACGCGTGCAGCTCGTGTTCGTTTCCCAATGCTGCCCACCCCTTTTTTTTTTTTCTTTCATGCCGGAAGGGTGACGCAAAGATCTGCTGCTCGATGACGTCTTATCTTCATTTGAATACCATCCGCAGGTGACGTGGTCAACGTTATTTTTTCGAAAATAAGCCATCATCATAAACCAGAACTCTTAAAATAGATAAATGAAATCTGTGCGTAATTTGGTTTTATTATTGTTGGTCAGCGGGTGCTAATTGCCAGATAGTTGGCACCGCTGACATCCGAATCGTGTGGTTCTGCATGCTACCACATTCTACCACATTCGTGATTATACTAATTATAAATATAAATATTTGCGTGCCACTAGGCCCTGCACGGGTGCTCGAATTTGTGCGAAACACGAGCTTAGCTTCCAGGAAATAATTGGGAGATTTATTAAGCGGCCTACCCTGGTCAGCGTTGGAAGGATCCCTGGCCTAACGTTAAAGGTAAGGGATATTATTATTATTATATTATTAATTATTATTGTTATTATAGCACATCCATCCGTTTTCAGTTTGTTAAATGACTAGGTCACATACATAACCTACGTATATACGAAATATATAATAATGACAACAATGGTAATAATAATAATAATGTTAACAATAATAATAATAACGTGAAAAATAAAAATAATATTATTAATTATTATATCAATAATAATAATATTATTATATTTCTTGTATTTCATTACGTTTAATATCAAACGTAAGATCTCTAAGGAAGTCATAGTTCGGGGCCTTTGAAGGGGTTCAATGAGATGAAATGTTGTCTATTAATAAAGTAATGATGAAATAATGAAATTATTAATGTCTATTTTAGGAACATCCTGATTGAGCGATTAAAATATATAAATATTTTAAGAGCTTTGAAGTAAATGAATAATATTATTTCCATTGAAACTCTTATGTTCTTGCAATTTTTAGTGAATGTTTCAAAAATTGGATAGAATTAGGGCAACGTTCAAGAGAAGTTCGACTTTTCAATGCTGCATTGATTTTTTTCAAAGCTCCGGTAACAAGTTGATTTGAACCGATTAGAAGTAAGTATTAATAATTACTTGAACATAAGTGGTGCACTGGCATCTAATGAAAAGATTAGCGCCTATTCAAAGTTTAAACCAAATGAGTTTTCTGGCGATAAGCAAAATTGATACAATGTCCGCTGCTTGTTGGTTTCCCTTTGAAGTGTTTTTAGCAATTACCTAGTAGACTATCTATTCATATTGCTATGAAAACAAAACTAGTTGGGTGCTATTCTGAAAAGGGCCGAATTTGAGATACCCCTTACATAACATTTCCATCAATTGTGGTTTTCTAAGGTTTAAAAATTCCTTATAAGCCCTTCAGTCTCTTCCCTCTTGTTGTTACAAATTATTAAGTGATTTGCATCAACTGTGCATACTCTTTAGCTGGTCATGAATACAGGGTATAATGAATCACACTTAAAGTTGACACAAAGTCTAATTACTGCCAAATTATCAGTTTCTAGAAAGTTAAAGTCCAAGATACGCACAACAAATTGGCACAATGATTACAAAATTGGCACAGTACTCAACCACGATTCTGATTATCATAAAAAGTGTGCAATCAAACTTTATAGCCAAGACACATTAAACACCAACAAAAAAAATATATAATATATGTACTCAAATCGAAAAAACAAAGCAATATATTCTGGCAGCATTAGAAAAATGGATGCACGTGTAGCGTTGTCCACAAAAAAATAATAATAATAATAAAAAAGAAATGGCAGATGTCATGAAATGGCAACAACAAATGAAACGACGATTGGTCAAATCTAATCGCACGATCCAACCAATCGCTGATCCGGTTCAAAGCAGACGAAATGAATATAAACAAAGATAACAACTACCCCAAACCCACCCAATAACCCTGCTCCCCTTCACTTTCACTTTCTGTGTGCGCGCGCGCGCGCGCGTGTGTGTGTGCGTGTGTGTGTGTGTTTCATGATGTATTTGTTGTCTAAGGCCTCGAGGGGTTTTGTCGTTTGCGATGATTTCACCTGGCCCGTGCCGTTATCTCTTATCAGCGGCACAAGTTCATGTTCAAGCGATAAGCATTGCGTGTTCCCGCTGCGTGTTTACGTTCTCGTACTCTCTGCTCTCTATCTCTATCTCTTTCTCGCTTTCCCTTTCTTCCCCCCCTCTCACTCTATTACTCTCCTTCTTAATAGTTCTTAATCTTCTTTGACGCGATCGCAATGTCGTCTTTGATGGGGGATTTTCCAGACATGCCGCCAAAGATTTTATTACTGATAACTGTGCCAAGGCGCATATAGCGCAGATGTTAGATAAATGTAGCTTTATTATGGCGTCAAAATCATGGCATTGGACTGTGTTACATGCATGCCTATTTGCCTGATAGCAGCGTGATTGATTCTGACTTAGAAACCGGTCAGTTTCTTTTTTGGTGAGGCAAAATCATGCGTAAATAGGAAATTTTCGTGAACAGGTATCGATTAGTTAAAGCCTCATTAAGTAACTTGCTAATTCAAGACTTCATGGTTCACAGGCTGGCAAATTTTTGATTAAAATTTAGAAACATTTTCGAACTTATCTGTCATACTTATAAAAAAATTTCAAATTTAAGCCATATTGAAATATATATTAATATATAAAATCTTGCCCTAATTGGTACATAAAAAGGAAAAAAATGCAAAAGATAGTTTAAATAAAAACTTACCTGCTTTTGGGAATGTCATAAAAATGATATTTTAATTTAGTGAAAAACTTTTATCTTGGAAACGATGCCGAGTCTTTCCATTTACCAGATGCACTCCCTCCCTACTATTTGGGCTCTAAGCCTATCGGCAACCAAACTTCTCAAATTAACTGAAAAAAGCGAGAAATATTAAGATTAAGAAAAAGTGTGTTAAACTATAAATCAAAATTTGAAGATAATGAATGAATGTGAACTTAAATTGTAAGGTGGAATTTTTAAATAAAAATAAATGATTAAAAATAAAATTATATGCAATTAAAGTTAAAGCAAAATTACTTAAGGTATGCCAAAGAATAACAATAAAAGCTTGGTTATGTTTTTCAAAACAAAAACATATTGTTTGCTTCATTGGAAATAACAAAAGAACATATTACGAATTAAAGAAAGCAGGTGAAAACATTTTTGTAAACTGATTATAATAATATGCAAAATTAATAAGTGTGCCTGTATATTTTTAAAATGTCAGCTTGCAACAAAGTGCCAATTATTTAATTATTTAATTTGTAAAATTTTATTAATTTTTATTTAGCCTTAATATAAAGCCCAAATTAAAAACGTTTAAGTTTAATCAAAATTTCGATTTCTATTATTTGTAATACTTTTCATTTTATTCTCATTCATCATTTCTTTTGCGATTTCGCTTACACCTCTTTTAATATATTTTTAATTTTTGTGTTTTGTTTTATACATATTATGTATTTATAATATTTTTAGTACTCCACCTGTTTTTGTGTGTTTCTGTGTTAATCTTAAGTTGGTTTATTTGTATTATTTAAGTATTACGATTTACTTGTATTTTTTGTTGTGTTTATAATTAGAGTAATGAGCAATTTTATATTAACTATAATTAATTATTTAAGTATGCATTTTAATCTTAATAGTTAAGTTCTCCAATTCTCCAATTCTCTTCTATTTATTTTTTTATTAAATTTTCATCTGTAAGTTGGTTTTCCTTTTTGCTTGTTAAACTATTAGGTGAAATTCATTGTAGACTTTTCATACAAAATAACACAAGCTTGGTATATTTTTGTGATCAAATGTATTGGTGTGCATTGTGTGTGTGTGTGTGTGTGTGGATGTGAGTAGTTTATGTTGCGTATGTGTGTGTGTGTGTGTTCGTTGGGTGTCATTAATATTACAGCTTCTAATTTTTGTATGAATGCAATCAAATATTATTTTCACTTTACAAATTCTCAGCTTCTCAAATAATGTTGTTAGTTAATTTTGTCCTTTGGAATATACAGATATATATTATATATTTTTTTTTGTTTTATGTATGCATTAAACATTAATATTTCCTTTTTATTTTCAATTTGTGACAAATTTAATGAAACAACAATTTATCTCACATATTAAAAGTTGTTTTCAATGCTTTGACAACAATAACAGAATTAATGCTTTTCTTTTTTAATTTTATATATGCGTTTTATATTATTATTTCGACTGGTTTTAAATAACTTTCTGGATTTATATAATTTTGCATTATGTTTCCTAATTATTTCATTTATGTATGTATGCGTAGTTGCCATTCCAATATTTTTGTCTTTTATCCTATAACTGGAGAGTTTTGCAAACACAATGAATATCTGGAAAAAAAAAACTCTGAAAAATATGACAAAAATGTAAAAAAAAATCATATTTCCATGTTTTTCATTTGTAGGGGACGCTGTGTTTGTGTCTGAAGAGAGTTTGAAGGATCGGCTTGTTATATGTACGATATAAGTATATTTTATATAAATGTTTTCATATAGAAAGTTGCTTGTATATGGGGTTAATAGAGAGCAAAAGTATGTTTTTATAACTATAGCGTTTCGTGTCATATTTCTTAAGTTTTCTGTTTTCTTTTTCGTTTTCATTTTTATAGCAAAAAGCACGATTTCCAAAAAGCAAAAATCGCATTGTCAAAAATTGGATTTAATTCGTAAGTTAATAATGGTAGCTTTTTTATCATATACTTTGTATTTTTTTGTTTTCCATTCCATTTAGACCAATAATTTGTGTAATTTTCGCATTATTAATATTAGTTGATTTTTGTAAGTCAATATATGCATATGCCTTTAGAAAATTATGGACTACACATACAAACATTATTAAATTTTTGTTGTCTTTTATAAAAATAAACAAACATAGAAAATGTCGCTGAACAACGTTTTATGTAATTTGCAAAAGTTTTAAAATGGTTTTTTCTTTTTTGTTTACTTTTGATATGGAATCTTGTAAAGTACAAATACATAAATGTAGGTACTATATAAGTATTTATATATATATATATTTATATATATATTTTTTTATTAATTTAGTTAGTTGTTATGTGAAGGAAGAAAATGCAGTTTTACAGTGAATTAGTTGCAGTTTCCTTGCTTCTTGCAGAAGAGTGAGAGAGAGAGAAAGGGGAGCGTTGTCTGATGGCGATTTTTCTTATGGTGTTTATGGCCTTGTTAAAGTGGAAATCATTTATGCAAGCTATGCGCGATTTGGCCTACCAGGTATACTCGTACATTAACTAGTTAAGAATTATAACTCAACACGCACACGCGCTGCCCTCTCCGCTTCAAACATCAGTCAATGTTATCAGTCACACACACACACACATTCACGCACACACCCATGCACACACGTAGTCAACTGCTTATTACTCAAAATACATTGAATTCTCATGTATTCAGGCATTACGCATACGCACTGATGTACAAACCCCCAACATAAACAAATTGTTTAACAAACAGCTCTTATAGTTACTTACGATTGCTATTAGTACATTATGTTTATGTTATTCATATTACAGTTATATATATATATATATATATATATATTAAGTTTATAAATATATATATATTCGGCTAATATTTTGTCTAATGCAAAACTTGCGTTGTTTTTGCAGTGAATTTCCTTTCTTGTTGTTGCTGCTTTAACTTCGTTTGAATTGGTTTTTTCTGCACATTGCCTAAAGACCCGACCTTTCCTTGCCTCTAACTATGTATTATGTACTATGCATTTAAATCTATGGGCTTAAGAAATTTTCAAATGTTTCCTTTTTAATTTATTTTATTTAATTGATTTCTGTTTACTTATTTTTTTTTTTGTTTTTTTTTTCTTTGCTATTTCTTGTCAGCTTTTAGCTGACAGCAAAATGAGCGAAACATTTAAATTCTTTATGCATGGTTAATGATTTTCACTTGAGTTAAATATATATATATATTTTTTTTAATAGTTAATAAGTAGTTAAGTTATAAATTTTTTTTTAAATATTTTTTAAGTATTTGTAATGGAAGACATTTTTTATACAAGTTTAAGACACAGAAAATATTTTTTCTTTATATATTGTAGAGTTGTGTTTGCGTGTGTGAGAATATATATGTATATATATATATCCGTGTGTGTGTGTGTATGTGTGTTCAAAAAGTTGTTTTAATAGTTTTTACTTTTGTTTTTGCTTTAATATTATTGCATTAGTAACTTAAACATAAAGTATTGCCAAATTAACAACGATATGTGAATTTCTATATTTGAAAAGAAAATTTAAACGCTACGCACATTCCGAATATTTAGTTGGATTTGTTCGAAAGCAAATAAATAGTTAAATATTCGATATCAAATGTTTGCAATTAATTTTATGGGTCTGCGGGTTCACTTGTTGATTTATATATCATATATTTTATTATACATATAAGTGTATATTATTTTTCGTTTGTCAAAATGATGTTGTATAAAAATGTATATAAAATAAATGTCATTTCTTCTGCCAAACTAATTTCTACACTCATATATATGCATGGATGTGTTTAATATTTTTTTTATTTGTATTTTGTTTGTTTTGCTTATTGCGGTTCAAAATTGGCTGCCATGCATATGTCTTCGATATGAACTGGTTTCTGTCGGTTTTTGTTTATATTTTTATTTTCCTATGTGCTCTTTTGTTTATACATTGCTGATCGTATTTCAAGTCTTCTGTTTGTTCAGTGAATTTCTTGTTTAAGGTGTTTTTTCTTCTGTTTTTTTTTATTTTTTGTTTTGGGTTTTGTAAAATATAATATTCGATATTTGTGCGTACGCAGTTAGTGCAAATCATTAATTTTCTTTACATTTTAAATTTTTTTTGTTTTCTCATTATTTCTGTCGTTTTTTTTGTTTTACTATTAAATTAAATATTTCGGTAGGAATTTTGTTCTTTTAAATACTTTCATTTTCTATTTACATAAAACTGACTAGTATATTAAGTTATATGTGAATTAATTGTGAAACAGTTTGTTTTACTTTTTGTTCTAATCGAAAATTTGTTTAGAAAACTTTAAATTAAAAGCTTGAAAATAGGGTTTCGTTATTGTTCTACTTTTGGTTTAAATTGTGATTCTCGTAAGTTGCAAAAACACAATTGCGTAACTAATATTTAACTAATCATTATTTTCGTCTAATTGTCAATGGAAATATAGTTTTTCTTTCTTCGTTTCATGCAAATTATTGTCTACAAACATATAGATATTAACTGTTGAGTATTACGCGTGATTTTCTTTTTTTTTTCGTATTTTTGGCTATGCATTACGTCAATGGAATTTATCCGAAATTTCTCGCACTCCCATAACTAGCTGCGCCTGCTCATAAAAAAGCCTTATCTTATCGTACTTCTGCTTGTGCTCATTATCCGTCTGTTCGGTTTACCATGTCCTGATTTTGTGGCATTTAGTACTCGTATCACGCGTTGGCCAGCACAAAGGTCACGCTGACCATCAACAGGTGAGCCGCTACGAGGGAGGCCGACATGTGTAACAGGGTGCTGCCACGCCCACACTGCTGTATCTCAATCTCTTCGGGATGATAGTTAATGCATTTCTTGGGCCGGCGACGCGACTCCTGCTCCTGGCTCTGGCGACGCGTGCTGCAGGCTCCTATATACATACATATATGCCAACCACCAAATATATATAGCTAATCTCATAATATAACGAAAGGCCGTACTCACCCACAATGCCCGACTCCTCCATGGGCTCAATATCCAGCTGCTTGGAGCCGCAAGGACACAATGTGTCCACCACAAGTAAAATTAAATTACTATGCGGAATTTTCTGCACACTGAACGGCCGCTCGCAGCCAGAAACATGACAATTGGTTAGTTTACCCTGAAAGATACAATTCAAGTGTTGTGAAACGTTTAAATATTATTTAGAATATAACTAAATGATTTGGGAAAATGGACATACCAAATCTTAAATTGGGAAATGAAAATCTAAACTAAATTAAAAAAAAAATGAATTCTATATTAATACATTGTTGTACAATTAGTATTGTGTAATAAAGTACAGACAGCTTTAAACAGGTTAAACGCCTTTTTAGTCAAAAGCTAAGTGTCTCTAAAACTGTAATCAAAGACAGTAACCCTCAAACTGTGAAAAGGACAATTATAATTGTCTCCGATTTGTGAGGCCGTAGAAGTTAACACTTAGAGCTGTGTTTTACGGAGAAGTGGCTATCAAGAAGGACTCTATACTCTATCAGTTTCACACATTTTAAAGAATATGAAGATTTATTAGGGTAAACTCCGTCTGTCCGCAATATCTTGGCCAAGCTTCTTACTTGTCAGCTTTATATACTTCTACGATGTTTATTAGGGTATTTAATTTCCGCATTTTTCATATAGGTGTTCTTTCTTGTTTTCATCTAAAAACGAAATAAGTATCTACTGGAGAATAGGACTGACCTTTAATGGATTATTTTGTCCGCCTTGATTGAGGCGTTCCGGTTGCAGCATATAAAGATCGGTACGGAGATCACAGCGACGCGCATTCTGCGGATCAGGCGCGAATCTGGGTCCACTGTGGGGCCTGTGCTGTTTGGGTGGCGGTGTCGTGTACTCCTAAAACGGGTCAAATTATAAATGTTAGTCATTTATAAATGGCTGAAGCACATCTGTATCACCCACCACATCTGCTGTGGTAAAGAATTCATCGATTTCTGGATCCACGGGCATGTTGTACTCGCTCTCGAAATTCTCCTCATACTCGTCCGAATAGTTGTTCTCCACAAAGACGACATCCTCATTGTCGTATGTCTCATAATCATCCTGTGGCCAGGCGCGCAATGAGGCCGGCATCAGGGATAGCCAAGTGGCGCTCAATGCGACCAAGTGCTGCAGGAACCAGCTGCCCAAGCGATGCGGCTTCAAAATGCCACCAGCTGCCGTATAGGGATTGTCGGAGTCGGAGCATACGCCCTGATAGTCATTGACCGTAACACGCTTGTAGATGCGATCCTGCACAAGTGAGTCCATAATGGTGCCATCGATTTGGCCAAAGAATTTGCCCGTGTGCTCCATTTCTTCAGATATTATCACAAATCCACTGTTGTCCAGCACATAACAATCGAGATTGTCCGAGGCGCAGGTTCGCTTACAGCCCGTCATGCCGGTGCACTGTCAATAAAATAAACTCTTGCTAAAGAACCTTCTCCTAGTGTGATCCCACAAGATCACTCACTGCAGATGTGATGTTGATGAAGTGCTTGGCCAGGGAATCATGTTGGAACTGTAGCCCCACAACGCCAGCCGGCGCCTTGTGTCCGCGATGCTCCACGAATATCGCATGCGAGGCGGTGACCAAAGTCAGGTTCGATTTGATGGCATAGCCCGATCCGAAGGGTACGCTATATACAAAACTGTCCGGCTCTACCGAATGCTGATCCACGGCCCGTTTGTACCAGGAACTGTCCATAGCGCGCACATTGTCCTCGCTAAAGTGACTGTGGATCAAATAGGAGCAATAATTACCAAATTATTAATTATTTCAAACACAAATATGTCAATAGTTGCAAGTGGAAAAAAAATTCTCATATTTTTTTGAAACTGAAATTTTTTCTATAATTGCAAAAGCCTGTGCTTTCATATATTGAAATAATCCTGAGGATAAAAACTGCCTTATTAGGAGCATATAAATAGCTTAAAGCTTTCAAAAGCTTTTTGGTTAGGAAAACAAAACTGAAATTTATTAGGAAAATAAAACTTGCTTCGAGCTTTCATAAGGTATTGAAGCCTTTCAAAAAAGAGTTAATTTTATTCAGACGCATAATAATAAAGTCATACCAATATATATAAGTTATACATAGAAGTTAGTCCCTTTTATTTTTTTAAGCTATATAGTCTTTTCATAGGTAATAACGAGAAATGTTTATTGACATTTAAGCTTAGCTAATCATAAAAGCTTGATTATAATTCAATCTCTTATAATTCTTAATTGCTCATTCTTCTATCCAACTTAAAATTTAGATTATAAGTTACATTAACACCCTTTGAAAACTTAAATAAAAACGGTAATAGCTAATTGACTTGTATTTTCTACTTACGGTTCTGGTGTATCCTCGGGTCTCTTTATGTGATCGATCCAGCGCAACAAGCCCGAGCGTGTAGCCACAAAGGAAGTGGCCACCACAAATTTCGAATAGCCTTGCCTGTGATAAGAGATTACCAAAACTTTTAGTAAGCTTATATAAGTAGTAAGATCAACAAGGAATTTAGCAAAAGCGGCTCCAAGCTTTCAACAACTAGAGACTGTACAACTACACATTATCTCAAAGAAGGATGAAAATTCCATTTATTTATTATTATTATTATTCTTTTTTGAACTGGATCCGAGCGTCTTGTGGTGCTGGTTCCTCAAAGCGTTTGCATTTTCAAAAACTACGTGACCGGTTAAACACTTATCATTTACCTCTTTAAAATGGCCATCAATGTGGCGATTGGACTAAATATTTGTAAAATGTGCATATAAATTATGTTATAAATTGCATTGTAAATCAAATTTATAAATTATTGATGCATGGTGGAAAGAACACATTTAAATATGTTTGATTATATAGAAAATATGGTGAATGCAAAGAAAAATATTGCATTTTAGAGAATAGAGTGGGGGGAAATATATGCAAGAGAAAATTTTTGGTGCTTTAGTGTTTGAAAATAAATGTTAAAACAATTACATAAAATTTAAAGCTTTTAAATGAATTTAAAGCCGAAATGAATACCTAAAAATAAAGAATCTTTAAAAACTGTAATTTGTTGTAAAACAAATATACTGAGCAAATAAAAATGTACAGAAAAATAAACAAAATAGCTTTATAAGAAAAAAGGAAATGCGTTCTAATATTAATGCAATATATTTAATCTTTGTTTATCAATAATAAAATATGAAAGTTGTCGGAATATTCGTTCAAATAAATAAAATTAAGTAATATAAGACACATATAAAATAATAGTTTATGTTAGAAATATTTTTTAAAAAACAGAAATAAACAAAAATATAAACGATTTTCAAGAACATAAAACATAGATATTATATAAGACACGAGATAAAATAAAAGTTTGTTAGAAATATTTTTTAAAAATGAGAAAATATATCATACAATTAATAATTATTAAAAACTAAACAAATAAATTAAACAATTTCCAAGAACATAAAACAACGAAAAGACTTTTATTAAAATAAATCAAAAAGTTATAATAGAAAAAAAAAACATAAATATTTCAGATTAAAAAATTCAAATTAATTTATAATCCAAGTGCTTTGAACATAAAAAGAGAACATTATTAAGAGCCAAACTTACTGTTTTTCCTCCTTGCCGTTGGATGTGCCCGTCGTGTTCCGGTCCAGACCATCGGTGACCATCGCATCGCGCACCAAGCTCTGAATGAGGGTTCGATCGCAGTAATAGGGCTCTGCCTTGCGAGATCCCTGCACATTCAGATGCTGCGCCCCAAAGTGGGCGGCACTGGGCGAGGTGCCATGCAGGTTATGATGTGGCTGCGGCGACTTTGGTCGCACCTAAACAAGCAAAGGAAAGGCAACGATTAAAAGTAAAATCCTAACATAGCCTGCTTCTAGTTGCTTCTAGTTGGATAGCTTACCGACATCCACTTCCAACCGGGGCGTCCTGCGCGTGCCAGAAAGTGCAGAACCTGCTCTTCTGGCGACCCGAAACTGGGCTCTTGATCGCGCGACGTATACTCGCCGGAGCTCTCGCGCTCCTTTTCCAAATCGCTGACGCTATTGTACTCGCAGTAGACCCAATCGGGATGTACGCGCCAGTTGTCCCCCTTAAAGTATTCGGTAACTGCGAAAGATACAGGAGATTTTAATGAATTTGATCCTGAGAAATCTATACATCTATAAATATGTAATTATTTGTCGCGACGGAGTGAAGCTTTGAAACGCAACCTTGTTCGGAAAAATACTGGAAAACATTTGAATGAAACTCTATTATTATTCCGGTCGGTTACAAACTCATATTTCTGGAAATCCAGCTCCTTGCGAAAACAAAGTGTTTATTGGCAAAAAGTCAATTTTCGTTTGACTAATTCGATTTCGACCAATCCATCTTTTCAAACGGATAATAGCTCACCATTGTTACGCGAATGCCTTATCTCCTGCTGGGAGACCAACTCGTGGCTGCCGTACTTCTCGGGCAGGACAATAGCCAGCGTGAAGGGCGTGTCCTCGATGGGACCGTAGAAGTAGCGATGCGTGCGCGTCGAGACGCGCTTCGACTCATCGTAATGATTGAGTACGGTGAACTCTGTCTCACCCTCCTTGGGGCGAATCATGTCACCGCGCATCTGCAAGAAAAGTAATCAAATGGATTTAATGCTGATTCACTTTTAACATATGCAACTGTAACTCACCTCATTGAGTAGATTCTTGTTCATCTCGACTACTTCGTGATCGTTGCCAATTTCCGTTTCCGGCAGTTCCAACTCCGTGATATCGACGGAGGCATATCTGGGTCGCAGCTGATCGATATACTGATTGCCATCGCTGAGGGGCCGCAAGTCTGGATGGTACAGCACACGCCCATTGTTATCGACGATAAACGAATAGCCATTCGGTCCCAGCTTGTGCTGTGGTATCATTTTCCGTATCTCCTCGATGGGCACATCGGTGCCCACCACACCCAACAGATTCGCAACGCGCACCGAATGGTTTCGTCTATCGAAGACCGGAGTTGAAACTGTCGTCACCAAACGTCGCTGATATTCCGAATCTCGACCCAGTCCACCCGATTTGCCGGCAACAAACACAGGACTCCAGTGCACCGGATGATCGGCCTGATACATAATCATGGGTCGCGCCATCACCAGCGCATAGTCAATTACCTTCCGTCGCGCCTCCTCGTAGTCATTGATCTGCACAAAGAAGCCCTTGTTGGAGCAGGCCATCTCATGCAGATTGCTGCGACTGCCAGAGTCGCTGCCAATTAGATAGGTGAAGATGCGAACGGGCATATGCGGCCAGTTATACTGCTTGATGATCTCCTTGTGCGATTCCGAGGTGCTCTCCGTAAGCAGCATTATGGCTTGATTGCACTGGCTGCCCGCTCCAGATTGATTGTACTGCGAAAAAGGACAGGCAAAAATCGATGAGAATTTGGCATTTGGGAGGATTGGTATTTAAGCAAGAGATAATATGGCTTTTCCCATTCATTTACCTTATGCAGCAGACTGAAGGCGTACTCTAGACCCGCAGTAAAGTTCGCCGTATCCTGCAGCTTTACGGCCTTGACAGCCGACTTAATCTCCTGGACATTGTCGGGCGTGGCACGCACCATGCGATCCTTAAAACAAGGTACAGGCGTCTTGACCACCTCCGAAAAGGTTATCAAATTCACAAAGTCATCCTCGCCGAGCGTATCCAGTATATTAAAGGCCGTGGCCATGGCCAGTTCGAAGGACTTCTCGGACATGCTCGACGAGGCGTCCAACAGGATCATCTGCAAGGAAGGAAAACTTGTCAGTCAGATGCGAAAGAACTCATATTGCGATGCAGCACTTACAATATCCTTGGGCGAGGAGGCGGCCTGAACGAACCAGTTGTGTGTACGAAAGTCGTGGATCAGTTTGCTGCCTTTGGAGCCCTCCGGTGGCCAGGCGGTGCCGGGGAAGCGACGCAAAAAGCCCGATGATGAGCCAAAGTATTGCCAGGACAATGCCGGATCTCGCTCCAAGTTATTCTGGAAGAGTGGATCTAAGTGGGCGCTCCACTGCAATGCCGACTTCACGTCCGCCTCATCCAAATCGACGCCGTGCGGCACCAGAATCGAGCTTAGACTGAGATTCACCGGCAGGCGCTCGAAGCGCCGCATGAATCGAATATCCATGTGGCGAGCTCCGTCCGCCAACTTGCCATCGGCATTATACTCATTGATGCGTCTAGCATCGTAATGCTGTTGCTGCCCCAATGCCCCCGCCTCCGAGCTGCTCTGCCCCTCCAGCTCTGAGAGCGCCGCCTGCTCCGCCGAGTCCATCAAGCGCTGCGAAAAAAACAAAGAGACAGGCATTAGTTGCATGCCTGACTGTATGTGTGTGTGTGTGGGTTTGTGTGTGCAGCTCTTACACGTGCTCATCAATCTGTTTAATTTGGCCCTGCGAAAGTTTTCGCAGCTTTTCTTTATGCAATTTATTCCCTTGACGGCGCCTTAAATTGCACAAAGCGCTTGCAGTTCGATGAGCAGAGTTTACTTTCTCTTCCTCTGTCCCTCTCTCTCTCTCTCTCTTTCTCAGTAAAACTCAGTTTCGACAAGTTTTGCGCTCTCCGTATTAATGTGTACGTGTGTTTGTATTGTATGCAATTCATCTGAATAATTCCCAAATGTACAGTGGATATAAGGTCCTAAGGAATAAGTTAAAGGGTATGCTTAAATGATTCTTATTGGCCAGATCGCTTTAAGGGAGCAAGATAAAAGAGTGAAAACAAAGAGGAGAACCTTTACTTGAGCTGGAAACTGCCGAAGGAACAGAGAATTCCCTTTAAATATTTTTGATGATTTGGTTTCTATTTCGGTTGGGTTGTTCTTTAAAAAACTGGGTTGCTTCAAGATTTGGATTATGGCACAATATAAGTTGGAGTACTCAACTCAAACCGGTTTGGTTTAAAACCAGTTTATATCTCTAAAGATTCTGTTGTATCTCGCGGCAATACTCGCTCTCTCTTAGCTGAGCATTAGCTCGTAATATGCTGCCCCTCTCTAGTTTTTAGACAGCCCACTTTAAAGCACTTTTCAAGCAGTTTCAGACCAGTGTGCCGCCTTGGAAGTCAGAGCCGCTTTTGCAACTTGGCGCACAAATTATTTTCACAAGTTTAACTTGGCTCTGTGTGTATTTTCATAAGAAACAAACAAGAACTTTAGCTGCAGTGAAATTAGACGCGACAAGGATGGGGGCCAACACGAGGCGCAGGCTGTGGATCAAGCAAAAATGGAGGCTAACAAACACCTGCAGTCATAGACATTGGGGGTCCGAGGTGTAGGTTCCAAAACAAAAACAACAGCGACGACTGCCTTTTGCTTGCCTCGCTGCACCTGAAGACGCTGCAGCTGCCAAGGACTCTAAGCAGGACGGCAAGCGAGATCCTGGGCGCAGTTTCGACGAGCAGCATGTGGGTGCATTGAAATAGTTCAACTACTTTTCCACAATAGCGAAAAATGCACAGCTCTTAACTCTGAGCTACACAGTAAAAAATATAGACTAACTTGCGCAAATAAATTTTAATATTTTACTATATATAATGCAGCTTATAATTCAGATAAATGGCTGAAATACTAGTTAAATTATTATTATTTATTATTTATTATATTATCATCCCGCAATTTTGTATATATCAAAATTAATTATTAAAACATTTCGTGGAATTGATTGCTTTTAAAAAACACTTAACTTAAAATTGTTCACGTGGAACCTGCAACTAGCTCGAATATTATTTTTATAAACAACAATATGGTTTGGGGCCACAATTTTTTGTGCTGTGTACGTCTGTTGGGGTCCGTAAGTTGAGAAAGATTTCAATGTAAATTGGCTGCCTTTGGGCAAACGCTGCACCACGGGAATGTGTCAGCGGCTTAGAGAAATGGCGGCCAGGCTAGACCAGAGACCGTCCCAGACATATGGACTTGGACATGGGCAGAAGCAGAAGCAGGCGCTGCTTTGGCACTGGGACTAGAAGCTGCCACTTCGACTTCGGAAAGTAGCATGCTCAGTGGAAAAAAGTAAGTAAAAGAAAAACTTGCATTGGGAAAACTTTGCTGGCGCTCAGGCGTAAATTTATTTGCACATTTCTCGAGCAACCCAAATTAGTTAAGAAGCCTTCAAGTTTACCAGAGGTGTTGACTACCAGCTAGTTAAGGCATTAAATAATAAACACAAGTTATAGCCAAAAGAATTCAACGAGTCAGGTCAAGTGGAAATTGAATGCGCAACAGAAATGGCCAAAGGCAACAACTACTCGATCAAAAAGTTCTTACTTAAATAAAGAGGAAGCCTAAAGTTAGAATAGCAAACTGATGTTGATGTTTGATGTTTTAAGCAATGAGGAACAGCTTATAGCATAAGAGACAGGCGCTGTTCATTCTTTAATTCTTCTTTGTGTGTTATTCGTGATCGTTTCACTGGCAGCGCTGCTTAGCTGAGTATTATAATTTGAAAACATTCTTTTTTTATACACATATTATCCTGTATTATTATCATTTCTAAAGTAAATTCTCTTGAGAGCATTACAGCTGTTTTATTCAATTTATGCCTCATTCATAAATGTTTTACTGGCAGATATGTTACCATATATAATCGTCTTTTACAGTTTTGATTATATCTAGCAATATATCTTTCGCGAGCATTTGTATTTTGTATTGTGTGTAGACCTATGCACTCTTTACTTTGAAAACTAAAAGCTATAAACAGTTTTAGCAACTTTTGTGTAACAAAACATAACTGTCCAAAACGGCAGAACATGTGTATTCGCAATATGTCTGACATGTCTAAAAACAGAGTAGAACAAAATAGAACAGCTATGAACTTAGAACATAAGCAGACAAAACATGGCTGTGTATCATAATACATACTTTTTTCTCATACAATATTATGCACTTACGACACAAGTTGGACATTTTACAAAGGTCGAGGCTGTTGCCAACCAAGGGTTGATTCTTATGCCCTATACCCATTGAAAATTGGCTAAACAAAAGAGAGTAGATTAGAGTAGAGTCGTGTCTTGTTCCGCAATCGCATACACAATTAAAAAGAATATTTCACTTTGTTATGTATATGGAGGGGTATATTGCCGATAATTAGAGTATACTCATATGTGAATATATTCCTTGAATCCTACAAATTTCTTAACGATCGTAAAATAAACAAAGGAGTTGTTTTGGAATGCATTTTGCATTGTGTGAACATATAGCCTTAAAAGAAATGGCATACCCGCTGACTTCTTTGTATTAAAAGGTATTTGAAAATTTTTATTTAACTGCACTACGGTCGAGGGTATTTTCTAGTCGGGTTTGCTTGAGGTTGGGGCTAGCTGTGCAATGCCCTCACACACACTATACTCATTTGACACCAGCTGGTTGTCTGTCCCGGCGCCGGCAGCTGTCGACATCTTAACATTCAAAAGCCAACAATGACAACGGCGAAGGCGACTCTGAGAGCTGTTCAATGTCAGGGCGCTGCCGGAATTAGCAAAATGCAGCTACTTGCACGCAATTTGTTTGCTAGAGAGTCATATAAAAAAAAAGAATAGAAAGAAAGACAAGAGAGAGAGGGGAGAAACGCAGTGCAAATGGCAAAAGAAAGCTGGAAAATGCGAGAAAGAAAGGCGAAAAGTGCGTGGCAAGTGCATGGGCGTTGGCTGAGCAACAGCCTGAAAGTATGCAGCAGAAGCTAAAGAGCGAGCATAAAGAGAAAAAAAAACAGAAGTCGACAACGACGACGATTCGCATTGACCATTTGCCAAGTCAACTGGCAGCCGGTGGCGTATGAGTGATTTTTTGTTCTGCTCACTCTATACACTTGTTGTTGTCCATGCTATGACTATTACGTCCTCTTTGCAACGCAGCGGAGCGAAATGTATATGTTCTACAATTAAATTATATTGCATGTGACTTCTCACACTTAATTATATATACAAATTTTTTATATAAACAAATATTTACATATTTTCATTCACCTAAAAGTATGAAGTGAATATTTTCGATATGTAAAATATAAAGATTTACAAGATATGTTTTTAGGGATATAGAACGTATTTAATAAATATATATAATAAAATATAAAAACTCTTAGGCAAGTGCCTGACTCTCATAGAGCATTAAATATTCGTACTGCTCAGGTTTGTTTTATGGCCAATTTTTGTCATTCAGTGATATTTTCAAATGTCTGCTTTCTATATATAAATATACATACATAAATACATACATATATGTTATTTTACTTTCATTTCGTTTCTTAGCAATATATTTTCCGTTTGAGTGCACGTGCCAAATGCCGAGGCAATAACTTGTATAAGAAATTTATATTAGCTTTTTGTAAGAGATTAGTTAAATATTTGCTCCTTTAACATAGCAACTTATCAGCCCCTCTTACGTAATAACTAGCAAAAGCAGTCACTAAAAAGCAATGCCAACTTATTGGACACGACTATGACTGGGACTGAGACTGGGACTGGGACTGAGTGAACTGCGATTGCGAGTCTGATGGTGACTGCAGCTGGTAAGCAACTGGCAAGTAGACTGACATCAAGTGAGCGGACCTCAACTGCACACCTGCCTACCACCTGCCCCCCGCCCGTGCTGTCTGCCATGTCCGTTGGGCATTTAACCAGCTACTAGCGCAACGACGGCTGCGGACTCTGGAGCACATGTCTAGAGAGGCTCTTTGGAGCTGCTCGACGACTCCGGCCGTGACACATTCACAGTTGATGTGGTTTACTTTAAGGATTATTAACGCATTTGCTGCGGCTGCGGCTGTGCAATCCTCGAATGCTTTTATGCTTTTGCTAGCAAAAAGATGGTTATCTAGTTTTTGCTTGTTTTTTTTTTTTGTTGTGTTTGCTTTAAGTCTGGACAACTTGCGTTGTGGTTTTTTCAGATTATGCAATGAAAATAAGTTTCTCATGTTTTTCTTCTGCGCTTCCTTTTGACCAAGGTGCACAGAGGATGTCCTGAAAGGCCGTGTGATGTCTCACTTTGGGATTGTCATACATTTTTAAGTTCAGCATTTATTATTTTATTTGCGCCATACTCTATTCTCTCTTAATCAGTTTATCCCATATTACTATCCTTTAATTACAAAAATGTGCTCTATAATAAGTCTATACTCCCTTAATATGTTATATTAGAATTGGGCTTACATCAATCTCCTATACAATGTTAGTTCTATAGCATTTTACCCCCTTTTAGCTTTGCCTTTGCAAAGTATTTGAATTGCAGTCGATGGGAATGTAATTAACGTAATGAATTTCAAATTTGACTTCTAAATTAGACAA